GCAGGTCTTTGTATCTTGTGATTTTCTCCAGTTCTCTCTCTTCTCTTCTGCTGTCTGCAGGTATTGCAATGTCCACTACCCAGACTTTTTTTTCTTTCTTGTCAACCATGGTTAGGTCTGGGGCGTTGTGTGGCAGGTGCTTGTCTCTTTGAGTTCTAAAGTCCCAGAGCACTTGATATTCTATTCCTTTGCCTGTTTTGGGGTCCCACCAGTTCTTGCTTGCAGGCAAAGGGTATTTCTGGCAGATGTTCCAATGCCCCATGGTTGCTGCTTTGTCATGCGGTCAGTCTGTGCGATCTTCTTCCAGCGGCTGACGAGGTGGCCCACTGTTTCTTCTGCCACCTGTTGAACTGTTGTTGTTGCCATTATTATTATTGTTCCCAATCTGTCGAGGGAACATCTACAACCAATCTGGGTGTGATGTCCCAAAACACACATGGAAACTCCTTTGTTTCTGGGCAGCCTGAGGGCCCGTCCTCACGGAGCCCTGCGCATGGCACAAACACACCCAGGAAACCATTCATGATGTGCTGCACCGTTTGCTTCATTCCCTTTAGGTGTCTTTAGCTTTTCCAGGTTTAAAGCGGCGTTTTCCCCCTTCTCCTGACCCAACATTGGCTCTGGATGCGATACAGCGTACTTCCTTGCTGTGTTACAGCACTCAGCAACAGGGTTACTGGCACGGCCAGGGTTGGGATCCACCCGGCTCCTGTTGGGCCCTTTAGGCTCCAGCGGGCACACAACCCCACCCCACCCGGCCTCTTTGGGGCGGCTTTGTCTTAGGCTGCAGAAGAGACCAGACACCTGCTTCCACAGACGCACCTGCCTGGGTAGCGCACGAACAGCGCTTTGCAGGGCACTTCTCAGGCCCCACGCGGGCTCCTTACATACACCAGCTTATGCCTCTTTTGAAAGAGCGCTTGGCCTGGGCTTTAGCACAAAAAAAGCAGGCTCTGTGTTTAAAGCCCCAAGGAGCGCTTCAGAGCCCTGTGCTGCGCAAAAAGACTGATCTAAACTGAGAAAGGGAGATGGGTTCGGCCAGCTGGGCATCGCTGGTGCTGTCACCAACGAGCACGTTATGGATTTTCCACTGCTTCTGTCAAAACAGGGTTTCTCGTGGCCATACTTCTAGGTTTTTTTTAAATCATTTTGGGGTGGGGAGGGGGCCATTTTGCCTCCTCCCCAGATCCTCCTGCTGCTGCCAGCCGTGGCCCCTTGCTGCCAGCGCTCCCATTCCTTTGCAGTGCCAGCTGAGGATGGGGCTTGCTTGGTGCTGATTGCCCCCTCTCCCCAGGCCGGGCACGCACGAGTAGAAGAGCGCAGACTCTTTAACGGACAGGTGAGAGGCGCAGGGCCGCTCGGCTTTGTGGACTGCTGAGCCGTCCATCCCAGGTGCCCATCTAGACTCACCCAGCAGTGCCCAGCACCCAGGAAAGGGAGGGGCGGGTGGTGGTTTCTCCCACCAACGAGGCCAAAACCAGGGAAATGCACCAGTCCCTCTCCGGGGCAGAGACAGCCCTGCTTGTCTGCCTCGCTCAGGGCCAGAACAGCGCTTGGCAAAGGGGGCAGCGCGGCTCGTGCTGGCACCTGGCACTTTGTGGGGCTGCCCTCTTGCCTGGCCCCGGCTCTCTCCCGGTCGAGGCATTCAGCTCTGGCCTCGCGCAGGAGGAAGGAGAAGAGAGACCGATGCCCAGCCCGGGAGAAGTCTCAGCCGTGCCAAAGTGCCTTGGAACAGCCCCGCCGCGACCTTGCGCTCCTTAGAGAGGGGCAGGGAAGGCTCTGGGCAGCCCTTCGGTGGGAGGCCGCTGTAAAGTAGCATTCCTGGGATCCCCGCAGGGTCTGTTTCTTGGCCTGGCCTACCTCGAAGGGCTGGCTGCTGAAGAAAGTCCTGCTGAACGCTGAGTGCCGAATGCCGTTCGTTAATTGTAGAGTCCCCTCGCCCTTTCATTAAAATGCACCCACTTGCATTTATATTTTTTCACTCCTAGTTGCATTTTGGGCTTGTTCTGGTTTTATGGGAAATGATCTCCTCTCACTAAGTGGAGGGAAGATGTAACAATACAGAGTTTGGCAGCTGGGTTTACCTAGGATGCTCGAATGCTTCCAGTCGAGGGCACAAACCGGGGTCATTTTTCGACTGCAGGACACCCTTCCTGGAGGAGCCACGGTCGCCTTTCCCTCATTTAGGGTGGGGAGCCCAGAAACCCTTATTAATGCAGAGAACTCTTGGGGTTTTATCATATAAGCTCTACAGAGTCTCTGGCAGGTTAAAAATGAATGAACAAACACTCTCCCCTTCCAAGCTAGTTAACTGAATACAAAGAACAAAGTTATTGTGTGACTGGCCACAAGAAAGATGCTTTCATCTAAAGTGCGTCCCTGGCAACACGAAGGTCTCAAAAAAACAACCCGAAAAGGAAATAATCATCTTTCTAAGCAATAAGGGTACGTCTGCACCCCTACCTCATCCCCTCCACAGTCGAGCTTCTTTGTACAAAGCCTTTACTTAATTTTTTCCTTCGGAACTGTCCGCCCCAAAGCCGGAGCGAAATTGTTTTAGAAAGCCTGCACGCGCAAAAATCAGAAATATGGAAGGCCACAGCTGTGGAGATATGAAGTGCTATTCAGCACCAAATGAATTGGAACAAAATAAGTATAGCGACTGTTCGGCTGTTCGTTTTGGCTCCCTATCCTCAGTAGCACAGTCTAACGTGTCACTTTATATTGATTCCATCTGTTTACACTCTGCAGTGAACTGGCTTCCTATGGCGAATGTTTCCTATTTACCAGCTGGTAAAGATGGGCCAAACCAGATAGGAAAGAATTAGATTATTTTCAGATCCTCATAAACATAAAATGAGAAGAGAAAAAAGAACTTAGCAGGGATACAGGCGATGGAAACCCCTTCCCACTCCCCCCCTTTTCCATTTCCTCTCAGTCTGCTTTCTTTTGCACCGGCAATTGGAAAAAGCCCTTATGTTGGCTGGAAGATATTTACACCTTAACATGCTGTTGTTTATTGCATTTGTGAAGTCCCTGTTGATGTGATGCTAATGAGAACCCCGGTGCTGATTTTTTTGAAGGATGAAAGGGAAGCTAGATTTAAACCCGGCTTGCTCTGTGCTGTGACCCAGAAAGCTGAACAGAGCCCTAAGGTTTCTCCAGCGTCCCGTGCAATTTCTGAGTTTGCCTCGGTGCTCAAGGGCGGAAAAAAAAGGTGCCAGACAGACAGAGAGAATTCAGCTTGGGAAGGAAACAGCACAGATCCAGCACAGAGCAAGCACTGGCAAATTCTTAAGCCTCTGCCTCTCTCAGAGGATCTGCGATTGCCTTTCGACTGCAGTTTTTAATATGGCAGAAGATTTTAAAAAATACAGATATGGTACTAATGTTAAGACAGAGCCAGGTTTGCCCCCAGGAAACTTCCTGGATGTGTCCATGCGGTTTTCATGGCAGCAATACAGACTTAAGGTGGCCATTTTATCACTCTAATCTACGGTCCTGAGATTTCCTAGTGGTCTCCATTCCAGTTCTAATCGGAGCCACAGATTATAGATTCACAGGATTCTGGAGTTGGAAGGGATCTCAGAGGTCATCTAATCTGATCC